GATTTGACGCCGTATTTGGGGAAGCTTCTGGATGGGTAAGAACATGGTTATGTGCATGTTTGGATCCACTTTTTTTTAAGCTAGAAGCTACTTATAAGCATAAGCTAGGCTAAACAGGTTTTGAGAAAAACTCTTATAATGAAAAGCTCTTCTTTTTATAATAAAGAAAAAAGCTGAAAACTAAAAGCTCCTAGGAGGAGCTTATTTTTAAGCTCTTATTTGTTTTTCTTGAATTGTGTGCTTTTTTTAAAATGAAGAGTGATAAAGATGGAGATAGAGAGATAGTTTTCTTGAAATATGTGCTTTTAAGTAACTTTTAAGCTAAGTTTTTTATGTAATTTCCAAACAGCTTTTAGCTTCTTTTTTTAAGCTCTTTTTTTTAGCTTTAGCTTATAAGTAGCTTCTAGCTTAAAAATAAGAGGATCCAAACAACCTCTATATCTTTTTATTAAATAAATTAAAATATGAATTAACGTATAAATAAATTAAAAAGAAGTTTAAAAATCAAATAAAAAAATTATATGAAAATCTATTAGCGAGGGCATTTTTGTCTATTTAAAGCATATACTGATGCAATCTGATTCACCCCAAACACATGATAGGATATTATTAGGGGTGCTAAACGAGCCAGGGGCCTTTCAGAAGCCTTTGGCTCGGCTCGTGAAGGCCTGAACTTACATGTTTAAAATTGGTTGTTGGCATAAGGCTTGAACTTGTATAAAAGCTCGTTTAATAAAAAGACATCAGGCTCTAATTCAAAAGCTCGGCCTTAGAGCCTCAAAGGCTGGCCTAGTATATATATTTTTTTATATTTTATACTACTTGTAATAGCCTCTCTTTCTCCTCAATCCATTTTACCCCATTTCATTGGTTAAACAGACTTTTTGAGTGATTTGGTTCTATATTATGCTGTTTGGTATACATTGAATTTATGATATTTATGGAATTACTAGTGTTGTTGATTGTATATTCTGTTTGGATAAATTTTGTTATTTTATTTTTTTAAACAGGCTAAATCAGGCTTTTATTTTTTGTAAATAAGTCAGGCCACAGGCTGATAATAATATTTATAACAAGTAACAGGCTTGGTCAGGCTGACACGTTTAAACATAGGCTTAGCCTTTTAAGACCAAAGCTCGGCTCGGCTCGACCCGTTAACACCCCTAGATATTATTATCTTATTAGGCTGTTTATCTGGGGCGCATCAAACACATGATAAGATATAAGCTTATCAGACTCATATCCTATCTTACCATTATCCAACCCACTTATCCTACGTCCTTATTTTATCATGTGCACCAAACGAGCCCTTTGTGTACACATTTGAAACCATTTAAAATGCTTCCTCTTTTGGTAAATTTTTGAAAATTCAAAATTTAAACTTCATATAGGTGTGAAAATAGTTCAGCATTAATAGGTGACAAACATCTGTATTAATATCCCACTACTTTTTTAAAATTCAAATTTTAAGCATGATATAGGTGAAAAAAGAGTTCAACATTATTTAGTGGCAGACAACTGTATTAATATCCCACTACTTTTTACATGAATAATTGTTAAGCCTATTAATAATACCATTAATTTTGGCATTGAAAATTGTTAAGCCTATTAATAATATTTATTATTATGTCTATTAGGATTAATTAATTTTTTGGGTCGCAGTGATGAAGAAGGTAAAACATGCCTATAGAATTACTAGCAGTTGCAGAGCCTTGGAAGATATTACTGCTCTCTTTTATGCTTGAGCAGTTAATGCAACATTCTTTCTGTTTAGTTTCTGCAGTGATGTATTTTTACTCCTTATTGTATGTTAGATTATTCCTCAAACTTATGTTACATTTAAGGACCATAAATAGTTATTATCTAACTCATATTTTCACAAGATTAATTTTGTTATGTATAAATCAATTTAATGTTTGATAGACAAGTTTTATGATAAGAATAACATATTACTTCAATCTTCAATATGATAGTGAATTTTTTATATTGCAGACACTAACTCAAGCATGGGCGACAACTAGAGAACATCTGACAATAACCCTTTTAAAATGATGTTTTGCATGCAAAGAATTTGAGTATTGTTATGTTTGACCGACTTTTTCTTTGTCTAGACAGTTATTTTATCCTTAGTACAATATCACCATCTTATCATCCTTATATTGATCTAGGTGTAGTTTCTTTTGTCCTATTTTGTATTTTTGGCTTTATTTGTCAAATACTGGAAATGATTTATTCATCATGATTTCTAAACAACCACTTGGCGCCCAAAAATATTAGACTATCTAATGTCTCTCCGATATTTGTTTAGTATTACTTATATCCAAGATTTTTTCTTTCTCAATATTTTTATGTATCCCACATTATAATCCCCACTTATAAGAATGAGACAATCTTATTTTAATTAAATTGACTTCTCGGTTGAAAAGCACATCTTTTTTGTTGTTATTTCACCCCCTATCAATTCTTCAATTATTGTTTCCAACCAGTGAGTAGTTGGCTTTAAAAATGTATTTTTTAATTAAAAAATATGTTTAAAAGCTTATAATAATTAAATAATTTTTTCATAAAAAACTAAAACCTAAAAAAAGTAGCTTTAATATTTTCTAAAAAATTTAAAAATAACTTCCTGAAATGAAAGTAGTGATGATCAAGGGTGAAATTGAGAAATCAACGTGTGTGGGGTGTTAAATAGCTACTTTTCTCACTAATTTCTATTATATCAACACGCAAACATTCTTGGTAAAAAAGTTTCTATAAACAAATTTGTAATCTACTATTTAAATAGATAGAATTTGAGTGGACAATAATATATTAAAACGTTTAAATATTCTCTAACTAAAATGAAATGACAAATTTTTGGTTAAAGAAACTACTTTTCTCCAAAATAGTAAATACAATTTTCTACAACTCAAATAATAATTCTATGCCTGACGGCATGAGTCGCATTATGTGTTTGTGCTATTTGGTATAGTTGAACCGTCTTTCTTGTTGAGGACGACTTATTGGACTGTCTCTTCTCTAGTATAAAACATTTAATTTACTTCACTTATATGTGTATGTGTAATGCGGTTGTTTTGTTTTATCATGTAATATTTGCAGGAATCCTACATCAGGGATGCTATTGGTTCTCAGTTGCTCCCATATTCTTTGATGCCTGCACATGCAGTAAGTTGTTTATATGCTTTCCTTGATTTAATTATCCTATAATTGTCCTCACTTTACCTTCAAGAGGGATAAATTTTGTTGGTAGAATTTTAAGGGATTGCCTTGCTTTACTAGTCGTGGAGTAATGCGTCTTACTTGGGTTAAAGCTACTACTCCATTTTGGCATCACTTTGGCAAGACCTGCAGCAGTGAGATGTTTAACTCAAAAGCCATTCTTTCACTGTTTAAATGTTTGTTTTCTGTGTTGGTTGAGCTCATACACAGCAAAGCAAAACAAACAGTTTCTGTTCCTTGATGCCCTTCTCGTCATTACCCATTATCTTGAACCTTGGCTGCTGACCTACTGTTCTTTTGTGGTTCTTGGTGAGCATGTGTTTCTCACTGTGGGGGACTTCTATCTTGCTGGAAAAGCTGACTAATTTGGTTTTCACGAGTTCTTTTGATCTTACCGAAAATTTGCTATCCGTTTGCAAGATTAGTAACAGGAAGCATATACTGTGACCTGACTCCTAGTTAAAATCTGGATTTAAATCTTAAAATTCCGATTTTAAAGATTTATTTTTGCTAAAACGATTTAGATTTCACTTAAAATCGTTTTCAATATAAAATCCCGATTTAGACATTTACTTAAGTCCCAATTTTTAGATTTAAATCCCGATTTTAACTATTGGAATGATGTTAAGCAAGTTAGAAAAATTGTTGAATATAACATTGCTGATGTTTCATCCGAAGATGAATGGATCGTGGAAAATGAAGGAACTTTATCTCATAATGAAAGTTTAGATGAAGACAATTTTGAATGATGTAGTTGAAGATCACGTAGAACAGAATGTATTCGATGATAATAACTTGAATGATTTATTAGCTTAGACCCTTAGAGTGTGACAATTGTATGCAGATGTATAAGGATGGTGGCAGGTAGTCTATTTTTCTTAAATTTTTTTATACATAAGCATATGTATATAAAAATTTAATTTTAGAGTGCAGGTAAAATCTACGATTTTATGATTTACGATTTTTTATTTCCTTTCTGATTTTAGGTAAAATTCCGATTTTGACTACCTTGGACCTGCCTAATTGTAACGTCTGGGCATTTCGCGGTCATTACTACTTTCCCGTACAGAGGACCTTAGAGAGAAATACAAGTGCCTTCATGTAACTCAAGATAATATAATATCAATTTTGCCAGTTTTTTTTCCCATGATTGATTTATTTTAACTTTTGCGTGTGATTGTACTGTTTTTTCAATTCTTGCTTCAGTTTTATGGTTAATGTCCCCATCTCATTCTCCAAAAGACAATTGAGTGATATTATGTTAGGCATCTGATTGTATTGGATTGGGTTGAAATGAATTCATTTCTGCCGTACGAGTAAAGCTTGGTAGAATCAGCTTAAATAAATTTTCAATCATTGTTGGATTAATTTATTGGTAATTTACATGATTCATAGACTCTTCGAAGGATTGTTCTAGAAACTAACCGGGTGGATAATTATAGCATTCTGTGCCTCTTGTTTTTACAATTATCATCTTATATTGACAGCTATACAGAATAACAAATAATGTTTATTAAACTGAAGGAATCGCAGAGTACTGTTCCTAAAGACTGATGTAAATAAGACACCCAGTTGCTTTTTCCACTGACACAGCACTTCTTATTATGGGCAGATAGATTCATCAGAAGTAATTTATCTTCAACAACTATAGTGCCCTCATCTGATCAGCAAAAAAGTTAATAACGATGAAGAACAAGAAAAAATATGGAACTTTTAAGGGTCGAAAAAAATTACACGAACAGAATAATATTTTTCAGAACGAAGTACTTTTTATCACGGAAAAATTAATGATACTCCTTCATTGTCCATTGAATTTTTACAACGTCCGGTCTATTACAACAAAAAGGAAACTGAAAAAAAGTAGAGAGTAACAATTTTGTCAACAATTTTAGTGTTAATAAGCCAACTGACAACAGCTAATTTAATCATTTAATTTCCATTATTGGAAGTTGCTCTCTTTTTTCCTCTTGTTCTTGGGCTTGACAGCATCCTTCAGAGTCTTACCTTCATTGTTCTGCCCAGCAGTTAGAGCTGTATCAATTGGTGAAGAATCTGTCTCAATTTCCTGTGGTGGGTCCTTCGGCTTAGTCTCACATAATGAATCCTTTTGTTTACTAGGAGCTGAGGATCCTGCTTATTTTACAACAATTCTAATGAGTGAGATTACATAGTTGTATCTTCTCATTCAAAATGGATAATGAAATCTAAAAAGAAAGTCTAAACTCTAAAGGCAACAAAAGAAATGGTGCATACGTACACAAAACCCTCAAACCCCTCACAAAACAATAAATGGGTGGCTGATAAATTTTGGCTGGGTGTAAAGCAGTGGACGATCCACTTCTCGGCCACTCATTTATTGTTATGAGGGGTTTGGGAGGGTTTTGTATCCGTATGTACAATTTCTGAATCAACAATTTATGCCCCCAGTCTCTCAGAATATCTGTTAGTGAAAGTCACTTAAAAAGAATGTGTGGCAAATAATACTAAAACATCCAATTGGTCAATTTTATCCCACCACGAAGGAGAAGCCAAAGTACTATGGTCATTTCAGTGTTCAAGCTTTTGGAACTATCCCTAAGTGCAAGCAAGTAGAGCCACTAGTTCAATCAATAGCCAAATAACAGCCAAGATCATAATAGAAGATAAAAGAGAAGTTATTACCACGTGATGCTAGAGAAGCTTTAAGAAGATCTGAGTTGACACACTCTGAGTAGGGATCCCTGAGGAAGCGAAGGAACAATAGTGGCAAGATATAAAATGTATTTTCATTACATTTAAAAGAACAGGTATACTTGGTTTCTTCTTAATATAGACAAAACTCAGAAAGGAAGGACCTCAATTAATGAGTCCATAATAGTAATTACGAATTTCATTTTATTTTCTATCACTCTATTACGTTAGTTTATTTAATGCACTTATGTCCATTCTTTGAGAAACAAAAAAGATTCTTTTCAATCAAGTTTGAATTTGTTCTTTTGGAATCTGGACTCCTCTACTGCAATTTTATTTGCTTATTTTTCTTTTTAGGTTTCTTTTTTATTTTCTTCCAACATTCAATAAGTCCCACATGTTTGATCCAGTAGAATCTGACCCATTTTTCATTGAGTGCAAAGTACGAAATAAATTATCCATCCAAACTACTATAGTCTTCAGTCTCATAAAAGTTCATTTTTTATTTGATTTATATAAATCGTCTGTAACAATTTGTTTATACCATGGACATATGAGAGTACTGATTTGTATATATGTTAATGACAAACTCTCTATGCATACAGTAGGTCTTTAGCAGTAGCAAATGGACTGGACTAGAAACAACTAGACTATCAATAAATTTAAAATAAAACCAATCCAAAGGAAGCTATTAGTTCTTGGATTAGCTGATATCATACCAACTTGAGGGACCACCAACGAAATTCTTTGAGACTCCATCCCTCTTGTTACTTTGCACTTGTCCTGATGATGTGGCATCACATTCCATAAAATTGGCCTCATCTTTCAGTTTTAATTGGTCTAAATTGCTACCATCTTTATTGCCATCTAATTGATTTTGTTTTTCCCCTAACCTGGCAGGGGTACCACCTACATCCACGGCAACAGACGGAAAATGACGTTTAATCTTCCGTAGTTCCCTTTCCTCTTCGTGCATTGTAACCTACATCAATTCGGACAACAAAAAGAGAAATTGGTGAAGGATATGCATTCAATGTCATTTGGCAATTGAAACAAATGTGCTAAGGATGATAGTTTTCATAATGGGATCTAGACAAAATTTCACTTGTAGGATATTATTATTAGATCACACAGTTCACTGCAGTGCAAAGCTAGTAGAGGTCAAGTCATACCATAATCCTTCCTAATTTCTGTTATTACAACTAAACCAACCTGTGGTACTTTTAATTAGTATCAAAGATCTGACATGAAAATTAATTAAGAAGACTCATTTAATTATTTTGCAACTAACACAAAATGGGTCATAGTATTAACTAAATGTGTTGAGAATGAGAAGCATTAAAAGAAAGCAACTGAGGTCCTAAAAGGCTAAGCATGAAAAGAGAGAACTCACTGCTTTGTTTATCTTTTTTGTAATATCACCAGCTTTAACATGAGCAAGTTCCAAGCAGTTCATGATAACACGGTGGGAGATTCCTTCTCCCCCAGCCTTTTGAATGGCACAAACATCACCAATTTCATTAAGCGTAGCAGTCATGCGTCCGGTCATTACAGCCTCTTCCTGGTAAGTTGGATCTATGACCTAGAGTGAGAGAGCACCATATAAAATCAGAGAGGAGTGAACCAACCAAGCTCAAGAAAATCATGCATTTTTAAGAGAGAATTAAAAAAATCCGTACCATAAGATCTTCATTACCCAAAAATCCATAGGTGACAGCAATAGGAAGATGATGTATAATCAAAGGGACTGGGTCACGCACCTGCGATGCAATTCGTGTTTGGTAAAACAAACAATTCATGTTGTTAAATTGAAGAAAGTAACCAACCAACCTCAGGAGGATGCAATACAACTTGCTGACCATCTTCTCCACCCAATGAGCATTCAGGCCTCCGGAATGTTTTTAGAGCAGCCAATGCAGCTATATTCGCAGCATCAACAAGATTTCTAATTCAATTCATAACACAATTATCCATAATAATTATTAGATAATTAGGTAATTAGAAAGCACAAGCACATGCACAAGCAGAAGAGAATAGGGTGACTCACCCGCAATTGTCAAGTATATGAATATCAATGCGAATGGCCCAAACGAACTTGGCAGGAAGAATGCAGAGCGATTCAGTGTCAACAGCTCTGCTTTCGCGCAAACCACGGTCAATAATGCGACCTAATTCGACGGCGGATTCAGAGGGACGGCCAGGCTCAAAGGAAGGATCAGCCATGGGAGAGAACTCGGTGAAGATAGAAAGTGAACCTTCATTGGGTCTGTCTCTGTAAGGCTGAACGAGTTCACCTGTGATGAAACTCATGATGTGGGTCCCACCGAGTTGGACCTCAGAAGAGCCATCATTGTTCCCAAACTTGATGGTGAGGTTGCGATACTCCAAGGGACCACGACCGTCAACTCGAACCTTAGAAAGCAGAGCAGTCTCTATGAACCTCTTTTCGTTAACTGTCAATCTCCAACTATTAGCTAACCTCTGCTCCATGCCACTCACTCGCTATTGCTATTGCTATACCTATCAATATTAATAACTATCAACAAATTAAAATATAAAAGTGCATAACTTTAAGGTACAATTTAAATATAAATACAAAAGATTAAAAAAAGAAAAAAAGACCAACAATATTAATTAGTAACATGGAGGGACAATAAAAAAACTATAGGTCCTGAAAAAGCAGAGTTCACAACAAAAAATGCAGAACTAATCCATACCTCAGCACCAAGCACACAAGTCAAACATATTTCTTGTAAAAAGACAATGGGACCAGATCTAGTGGAGAGTTATAGTATCCAATCCATGACCCACACCACTAGTTAGCTAGTTTAGATTATCCTAATGATATAGAAATTTGGGTTTTGAATAAACAGAGCCAATGGATTTCTCCCGTGACAATATATATAGAACATATTGGAGTTATGCATGTCAACAAAGGAAATCAACTTGCAGGTTTTTTCATCGAAGCCTTAAGTGGTTTACTGGTCCATTTCATCAGTAACATGCTAGAAGCATTTTGGATCTATGAAATTTTCTAGCTCACTTTAAGTCAAGGGTGTAGCAATCCTCACGTCTACACTCAATAATACAGTGTGCTTTTGCTATTTATATGTCTTTGTTTACATATTTCTCTTCCTATGTCTCTTTCTTTCTCATAGGTGATTTAGAGTCAGCAGGTCTGAATATTGCCTTTCTTAAGCAAGTCTGAATTCTGCAATAAAATGCAAAATGAGTTTCATTATTTAAGCCTTGTCAAAACCATTCAACCCAGTACCTACCAATCGGTTTGTTCTATATGTCCAAATACAAATGTGTTGGCTTGATTTGACAGGTGAATAAGTTGGAGCATATTCAAATGATTTCTCAGTGAACTGAACCAAGCTCAATTTTCATGCCTAATTCCTTTTAAAAATTAAAATTTCACAAAGTAATCTAGTATAATAACTAACTGTCTAATGAGCATGCTCTTCACTTGTTTGAATCAAGAAAATATTTAACCGCATAAGCAAGAATGCATAATATTCAGCTTTAACAAGAAAAGTAAAAAAAAAAACCCATTATTCATAATTACAATAGTTTTGAATATACCAAACATGTCAACTACTCAGAATTGTGGTTAGTAACCAATTCATCCGAAGCTCAGAATGCCAGATCAACACAACAAACACTCTAGTCCAACAGCAAGATTACTTAAATGACATTTGATAAAATAAAATTCGAATGTATAAGACTACCAAGTTTTAAGAACAGTATATATTCTTCCCAATCATATATGTATGTGGTTTTTTGGCCATTGAACATATATGTATTCAAACACTCATTGTGGAGGCATTCATATATATGTCCTTTGCATTGGTTTCCAGTAATATATGGTGCCAAAATTTTATTGTCAATATGATTTCCCAGAAACTAATCTATTCGAGACAATTAAAAAATAACTTAGAAGTTCATGATTTTTATTTACCCCAAAAAGGAAGAAGATGATAAGTTTACATTGTACTCAGTTCTTGGGTGTTATGGCATCGGAAACCATGAGATTACATAAAAATAATGACCAATCTAGACATGTAGAAGGCTCAAATTCTAATTGTTCAAAATCTAAGATGTTTCTGACACCATCAACAGAAGGGAATTGCCAGCCAAACTCCCATGATGCAGTTTCTAAATTTTTTTAAAAGAAAGGACAGTGGATTAAAAGTGTGAATTCCATTATCTTCCTCCCAATACATATCACACCACAATATACCATTTACTTAGACTATTAAGTATCAACAACCAAAGAACTAATATCCTATAAAAAGCAAAACCAAAATACATGCCAAAAAGCACAAAATCAGAACTGAAAAGAGTAAACAACCATGAAATTCCCACCTAATCAGAACTGAAAATATGTAATTATGAACAATGCTATTAGATTCTTTAAACACATGCTATTCTCTGAGCTATATAATAAATTAAAGAGAAGTAATAATTTAAACTACTAGGTCAGACCAACAGATAGTGTGCAATTTTTGTACACAATAGATAAGAATTAAGATAGCAAGGGGAGAAGAACAACATACCTTGTTTGAGGAAAAGGAAGGAAGGCGTAAGAGCTGCAAAATTGGAGATCAACAAGATGGACCCACACTCCTCGCTTTCCGACTGAAGTGGAAGGTGCTGGTGGTGATGAGGATGAGAAATATAAAACGAACGCTTGGTGAAGAAAGGGAGAAGAAGAAGAAGAAAAAAGGGGGCTACGGTGGGGAAGAAGAACAAGAGGGTAGAAGGGATAAAAATGGGTTTAGGGTTTTAGGTTCAAGTTTTGTGAGGGGTACAAGCGTAAACTGGTGCTTTTCTGGCTCATGCTCACTCAATTGTTCATATTTCATGCGCAACCGAAAGCAGGGTGTTAACGAGCTGCCTGATTTTGTTCCCAAAAGGTTAAGTTTATATTTCAATAAATATTTTTTTTGTTCGTCACCAAATTTCACTATATCTGTTTTGATTCCTAATAAATAAAAAAGTTTATTGTGGTCTGATAAATTCAAAATGGACCTAATATGGGTCTTTTTAGAGACTAATATGGGTCTTTTTTAAATTTATGAGAGACCACAATTTCAACTAAATGAGTCCATTTTAAATTTTTTAAAGACTACAATGAGTTTTTTTATTTGCTAGGGACTAATACGGGAGTCATGAAATTTGCTGAGGACCAAAAATGGTACTTACTCTTTATATTTAAAGGGAAACTTCAAAAACTTCCTCTAAGTTTTTTTTAGAATCATTTACCTTCCTTTTCAAAAAATTTAATCATTTACACCCTTATTTTAAATTTTTTTATCACTTGCCTCCTAACTTAATTTTCCATCCAAAATTAAAGTTAAAGAGTTAGACTTTTTAAAAAATATTAAAACTACCCTTAAAACAAAATAAAAATAAAAATTAAACTTGACACCTTATTGCTATCAAGAGATAACACCTTGCATATAGACTTTTCTTTCTTCAATATCTTCTTTGTTCAATATCGTTGGCGGAGGTATCCAATTTTTAAAGATGGGAAGGAATTGAAGCTTTCCACTTTGTTGGGTTCGATTAAACATTTTCTTCTTTACACATCAGGTTATTGGTGTAGAGCCTCTGGAAAGCAACATACTTTCAGGTGGAAAGCCAGGTAAGAAAACAAAATAAGTTCTTACACATTTTAAGTCCAAATGTTAATTTTTTAAGTAGTTGTTTCTCTCTTATTTTTCCTGCTAAACCACATGACCTCACAAAATTCAGGGTATTGGGGCTGGTTTTGTGCCCAGAAATTTGGATTGATGAAGTTATAGCGGTATGTTCTTATGCTTTCCCAATGTCTTTTTCTTTTTTGTTATAATCCAATGTGTTTTGTTGTTTCCTAAACTGGGTTTTAAAAAATGTGTTACTGACTAAATTATTTCCTAGGGCAATTGCTTGAGCTTGTTGGATTTTGAAATTTGAAGTATTCTCTTTGATTCGTCGTTGTATGGATTTCTTCTGGCCAACATGCATGTATAATTACCATAACAAATCCTTGTCCACTGAATACTTTTTCATTTGCAAACAAATTAGTAGGTGAAAGGTTGTAATCTTCCTCCAGTTATTTGCTTTTAGATGATAGCTTTTTGCACCTGTGGTATTAAGTGTGAATGAAAATGTCATTTCTATGTCTCACTGCCGCCATCTAGTGCATGTAGCTAGTTACAGTAACTTGGCATTGTTTATTTCCAAAACCTGCATACATTAGCTTGAACTGTATCATGTAGTGATCAGAGTTAGAGGGGTCAGACCTTGTCAAATAAATGAAGTTTTTTATTCTTACTTTTTAATTTTGCCTGGTCTATTAGTAAATGAAGAAAGCAAAGTCTATATGCAGTGTGTTATCTCTTGCTAGCAATAAGATGTCAAGTTTAATTCTTTTTTTTTTTTTTTTTTAAAGGTAGTTTTGGTATTTTTTAAAAAGACTAACTCTGTTAACTTTAACTTTGGATGGAAAATCAAGTTAGGGGGTAAGTGATAAAAAAGTTTTAAGTAGGGGTATAAATGATTAAAATTTTTGGGAAGGAAGGTAAGTGATTCTAAAGAAACTTATAGGGGGATTTTTGAAGTTCTCCCTATATTTAAATGCACCAACCTAAATATAATTATTTACATGTAATTTGACTTATTTATAAAAAATAAAAATTTCATTTAACTTGTTAAAATAATAATAATAATAAAATTTTATACAAATAAAATATACAATTAACATCATTAATAATTTCATAAAGATTCATAATATAAAATAAAATTATTTCAAAAATTTATTTAATCAATAAAATAAGATGAAATGAATTGAGAAGAGAGAACTATTATGAGTAGTATAAAATAAAAATAATATAAAATAAAAATTAATATACTAGGCCAATATTCTAATTCTAAAGTCGAACTTTTGAATTGAAGTCTGAAACTTTAAATCTAGTCATAATAATTAATTTTAAACATGTAAGCGCGACAGCTTCACTAACCATATCAAAAACTCGTGAAAGGTACTTAATTTATTTACCACCCGTAACTGAGAGCCATTAAAGGCAAGAAAAGAAAACGCGCCTCACTGCACCATTCAAAATACTTGTGTTTTGTTTTTTCTTTTTTTTGCTTAAATATGCTTTATTCTTTAATTTCAACTATTTAAAAAAAAAATTATCTTTGTAAAAAAAAAAATATATCCAAGGAATATTTTTATTATGTTAATGCAATAATAAACTAACTTGAATATGAAACTCTAATAAAAAAAACAGGAGAAAAATTTGTTTACAAACTTTTTTTTATAAATTTTTATAAATTATACTATGTACTCCTAAAAGTACATAGTGTAACTTAGTATACTTCCGGAAATACATAGTGTAGTTTATAAATAAAAAGTTTGTAAATATAACTCTCTCTAAAAAAATAATATTTTCTATTTTATGTGAAAGGTAGAAATATCTAGTCAAAGATCAGTGACTTGGATCTAAGGGCTCTCAAAGGTATCAAATCATTATTCACATGGAAATAATGGCGTAGCCAAAGGAGATATGTGTGCACATTGACAACAAGTAAAGAGAGTAAATGCCATATTTATAGGCTATATCTCTTATTTATTCTTCCTACTCTTATTTTGCCTACTTCTTTCAATATCGTTAGATTACAATCTCATCAAATGGTAGAGATTTACTATATAAAATAAACTCATTTCTCTCTCTGAGTGCCTCTCATTCTTTCTCTCTCCTCCCCTTTCTCTCTCTTCAATGGCGCTTTAGCATTAAAAAAAGGTGCAAACTTTTTTTTCCAATTCATTCAACACAGTCATTGTTATGAGGATTTACATAAAAAATTGAACAGGGGTGTCAAGAAGAAACAAACCCAGATGCTCTATGTTATGGGATCAGGTAGATCTGTTGTTGGGGATAGAGAAAGCATAAATTCTTTTCCCACTTCAAGATGAAAAACAAGATAAGAAGAAGGAGATAAATTGATTCGATTTCAAATTTCAACAACAAAATAGAAACGTTACTGTAATCGTGGATTAATTCAAAGGAAGGGATTCTTCGTGGTTTTCATTTTTTTGTATTTTTGTGGTTTCAGTCGTGTTCAATTATATCAGATTCAAGAAGTTTTAAAAATTAAATTTATCCGGCAGAAGCCATTAATCATTGAATGAATTTAGATTCAAATATAAATTCAAGTTGTAAATTACACAAATCGATAGAGAGAAGGAGTGTGGGAGGCAGTAAGGAAAAAGAAAGGGGAAAATGGTTTATTTTATTCTGCAAATCTCCACTATTGGATGAGATTGTAATATAACGGTGTTAGAAGGGGTAGGCAAAGGTAGGCAAAGTAAGAGTAGGCAGAATAACCTATCCCTTTATAGAATTAGAGTGTGAGCCATGAAATTTTGGACCTTTACTAGCTTTTTTGGGACCCAATGCAAGGGCCATTCTTGTCATACTAGGATTAGTATTATTTAGAGATTATTTCCTTTGTTTCCCTTCTTGAATTTTCTATAATATGAGCATATATGATGGGCCATAGCCCATAATAGTATCTTTGTTAAAATAGTAGGGGTGGCAATTTGTGACACGACCCGCCAACCCGACACAAAATTTTCGTGTATGGATCAACCTATATAATAAATGGGTCGTGTCCGGGGTGAAAAAAAAAGAACAGGAAAAAATCGTGTCGGGTTACGGGTCAACCCGTGAACCCGCTTTGACCCGTAAAAGTTATTATACTTCATTTTTATTTTATTTTTTAATAGCAAGTATGTAAAAACATAAGTTTACATTGCATTTAATTATGTTTTGCAATTGGATTGATGGAGTTAAATGTAACTTATTTTGATTTGAATTAGATTAAACAGATTTAATATGATTTGAATTAATTCATTTTGTGTTTACTCGTGTCGGGTTGGGTCGTGTCCGGTTGGGTCGCGTAAATACATGTTGCACTCAAATTCGGGTTGTATCGTGTCAACCCGTTTATAAATAGGTCATGTACGGGTTGAGTTTTATAACACGAATTGTTAATCGTGTCGTGTTCGGATTGTGTCTATTCGTGTTCGTGTCAGACACAGGTCGACCCAAACCCGACCCATGAACACGATTTGTCACTCCTATAAAATAGTATAATTACACAATAAAAAACAACTCAAGGAAATCCAAATTTTTAAATTTTTATTACATGTTAAAACAGGTTTTAAAAAATCTTGTTCGAAACACAAACAGAGAAATACGCGGAGTCATACATTTTTGTATAATGTGCTGCCGCATGCAGTTCTAGTTTATCTCTGCTGGCTGTGATGTCCTTTCCCATCAAACTTGGGCAAAAGAAATACGCATTCTGAGCTTTAATTCGACCTCAAGTTCAACCTTCTATAGTAAATATAGATCTCTATCCTTCTCTAGTTATCCATTCCATTTCCTTTGGTAAATTTAAAAACTATTAAGTATTTTATTGGCTATGCTAATATGATACGGAGTGGTAATAACACAAACAGTGGAGCAATTCTAAAGGTCGAGTAAAACATTAAAAATTGGCAACTCAAAACCTTGGGTTGGTCATTTTGAGCTGTTTGTTCCAACGGTGCATAACTAGTTCCAGCAGAAAGCCAAAAATGTAAGAAGATAATAGAAAATAACGACGACTTTGAGTTGTGAATTACTTTGACTATATAAAGATCATCCCTCAGAGAAAATGTACAAAGGAACAAAAGAATAACTTCTCTGTCAATATCTAGCAACAAGTCCACACCAAAGAGTGATTACATTATACCTTAGCATCTATATTAGTTAAGCATCCATGGTACATATTTGGGTTCTTGCCATTAGAAACTGAGTCTCTTTTCCTTCTCTTTTCCTTTTATCATTTTACATTGGAGTTGGGACTCCCTTTCAGTAGACCTGTTAGATTAGACAGTAGAATAACTGCCAAAATGGAACACACACAAAAAATTCTCTTAAAGGTGACTTTCGTTTCTCAGATTGCTCTTCTTGACACTACGGAAAACATCTTGCATTAATCGCTCATGCTCTCTAAGCATGTCATCAATGTTGCCACCAGGAGGCATCAATGGTCCAGAGCAGTGGATCCTATTTTTCTTTGGCATATATCCCTGAAATCACAAGTAAAGGGCAACAAACAAAAAATCAAACAGTGTGTTAATCAGATAAAATTCTATTTTATGGAGAAGTTTACACATCACACGGTTGGCTCCATGAATATAGTAAACTAGAAATGACATATTGAAAGAGAAGGTTTTTCTTTACCATCCCAGGTTCTTGGCCAGACATGCCTTGTTCCTTTCTTATAGAAGAGCTAGAGAAATCTACTGCTGCCGGATTCACATGAGAACTTTGTGTCCTTAACTCTGGTTTCTTCCCACATGATTCTGGTTTCTTGTTCAATGAGGACGGTCTTGCTGCATTGCCCTGCATCATTGAGATAGAATGTGCACGGCCATTATGTAGAGATACTCCGGTTGGATCACCATCGTAGCGAGACTCACTCTCCTCCTCTTTCTCATCCTCATGGGATTGATATTTAAGAGGGGACATTCTTCTAGAATTTGACTTGCCCTGCAAAATTTAAAGTGGCCATGAGAATTGAACAAAATTGTAAATAATAATGACCATGGATATTTTCACAAATATACCAGCACAGATATATCTCCCCGATCTTTGTACTCTGGTGTTACCAGTACTTTGGTATCTCCTGCTCCCCTTAAAACTGATACCGGCCCACGTCCTTTTACAGCTTCAGTGTTTTTCCTGATATAAATAAATAAAGTTCTATGAATTTAAATGATACTTCTAAACGCAGCATTAAGACAATCAAATCTACTTAACAAGAGAAGGGTCGTTTATATTTTGTTCATAAAGAGAAGTTCAATAAGACTGTTAATGGATAAATCAGTATCTTCAATATCTAGGGAAATAAAACTTAGAATACCTGACTGCTTCCTTCTCTCGACGCTTGGCATCAAACTCCTTGCTTGCTGGAAACTTTGGTAAACTTGATGGATCACAAGGTAGGGGGTTTGTAGTGAAGAACTGGCAAATATCCAAGACGAACAGTAATGAGTAGGATATCCAAAACAGTTCTTACAAATAGAACACAATCAGTTTTAAAGGCTTCATTATAGTGAATATTTTTATTTTTTATTTTTTAATGTTGATGACAAGCTGCAACTTCAGGAAAGTTGAGGTCTCTGGATTTGAGCATGAAAATAGAATTAATTGCCATGCAGATGATGCTTATAAAAAAAATGATAAAAGGATGCTCAGAATTACCTCACTCTTAAGCGCTGAAGTTGCAGATCCTCGATCTTCTGGTTCTATAGCAAGGAGCTCATCAACAAGAGCCAATGCCGAAGAAGAAAAGTTTTTAAATGTTTCGGCGACTTGGCGGTTGTAAGGGTGTTGTGGTTTAAAACTTGTTGCATGAGGAAATTTTGTTCTCTGCCAATAGTCTTCAGATGGGGAACCACAAAGCTTAAAAATCTTGTGCACTTGTTCCACCTGCAGAAATTAAATGATTGTCAATGCTAAATTACAATTCATGCCTATGCTTAGTAGTAATAATGGAAACTCAAGTGTGTAAATAATCTGCCCATTTTTGCAAATTCTACAACAGTATAGTTAAACATGCAAGTTGTGTTGAAATTTTTTCGATGTAGCAGACTTTGTATTACTAAACAGGCAGTGGTGTTATGCATTATGAAAAGTTTTAATCAAACTACAATCATTATCTCACGCTCATATTCTGGTTAAAGATTGTGCAAAACTTCAACAGCAATGCTTTTAAGGTAGTGAAATAAACATGCACATTGGTACTAAAAAGTGGCACAATATCCAAGAATCATATTGGTTAATGCAAAATACCTCTGTTCTTCCAGGCATGATAGGCTTCCCCACAAGCAATTCCGCTAGAATGCAACCAGCACTCCACAAGTCAATGGCAGGTCCATACTCTGTAGCACCTAGCAAAAGCTCAGGTGCCCTATACCACAGAGTCACAACACGGCTAGTCAATGGCTGCTTTTTATCAGGTTCATAAACAGTTGCAAGACCAAAATCTCCAATCTTAAGATTTCCATTGCGGTCAATAAGAAGATTTGAACCCTTGATGTCACGGTGCAGCACACCCCGACCATGGCAATGTTCAAGCCCACAAAGCATTTGCTGCATATAACATTTAATCTGCAAAGTCCATGCATAAACAATTCAATACCATAAGATTACAACCTTGTACCACTCTTTTTGCAACTAATCAAGTTACAAATTTCTACTTATTAAAGATTCTCCTTTCCATCAATAGCTATAAACTAGTACATCTACTTATTATCCATAAGATATATCTATGATTTACCTGTGATTCAGTTAACTTTAGGCCAGGTATAGCTGCTATTCCAGCAAGGTCATGCTCCATGTATTCAAAAACAAGGTACAAACTGGTGGATGTTCTTGATGTGACAAGACCCTCAAGCTTCATGACATTAGGATGATCAAGTTGACGCAAAATATAGATTTCCCTTGCCATGAAACGGACACTTTCTGCATCTGTACATGAAAAGCGAACTTTCTTCAAAGCCACAATTTTACCAGTTTCAAGGTCACGAGCTTTATACACACTGCTATAAGCCCCTTGTCCAATCTGCATATAAACATTGAGTTTAATGAAAAATTTAATTATAAATATATTGAAATAAAAGGGTCCCCGGCCCAAGAAGTGATATTAGAACTAACTTGGTCTAATTTTTCAAATGAGTCAGCCCGTCGTGGCACCCAACCTTTGATGGCTTCTGCTGCCACTGAAGATAACCATGATGGCCATCCAACATCAACATGTCCTCCTGCACTACGTGACACGCTAAGTATTCTACTCATTAGTGGCTTTCCTTCACCTACACCAGCACCTATTGTCATACATCTTTGATGCTGGCTTTTTGTGGCTTCTAAGTATCTGTTTTTATCTTCTAATAGCGCTTTGAAAGACCCCCGAAATATTTGTGATGATGCCTTAGCCAAACGGGGCACTGAACCATCCATGCCACAGCCACCTAATTGGGCAGCTGAGACAGCAGGAGCAACCAATTGTAGTGAAGACTTGTTCAACTCTTTTTCTATCTCATATTCACCAATTCTGTCTTTGCTTGAGCAATCTTTTGAGCATATGCACCCCATATTCTTAACCCACTCTTCCCTCTTCTTACAAAAAGGGTGTTATTTCAATCAATCTATCACTGCTTTTCTTTTTTCTTTTTCTTTTTTTGTGAAAGTTGCAAAGTTAAGCAACTGGGTACACTTGTATTTTCTTGGGAACCCAGAAGCTCCCACCCTTTTAACTCCTATAATCAAGTAGCCATTTACCGTGAAAACTTGTATTGGGTACCCTTTATTTGGATACCAATGGAAAATCCACCTTAAGAAATCAATGGTGCAATATATTAATGTGACTTATTTCCCATGGAAGAATCCAAAAATTGGATATTACAGATTTGGGAAATATCTTCCAAAATTCAATGCTTTACACCTCCAGATTACCAGATTGCAGAATCTTAACAAAGACTAATCAAACACCAAATAACAGAAGAATTTGAATTTGAAAATCAAGCGATCTAAATGAATATATGAACAAGAAATATACAATCACGGAAGAACAATGGAGTGATTCCCCTCCAAAAAAAATATTATAATTTAATTAAAAACAGAGAGATGAAAAATAACGAAGGAAAAATGCTCGATTTCCTTGACCTTTTAGGGAGAAAAAAAAAGGTGGGGTGAAAAATTGAAAGCCGTGAACAACGAACCCAGAAGGTGACAATGTAGGAGATTTTTCTTCAAATCAAAAGCAAAAAAAACCAAAAAAACTTATTTTCTAAAAAAAGTATTTTTTATTTTATTGTTGTTTTGTTCTGTACACACTAAAACGTGGAGATTGAAGGGATGGAGGAAGGAGGGACAATAATGGAAAAATAAGAGAGAAAAAATAAAAAATAAAAAAAGAGGTTATTTGATTATGGTGTGATTTGGAAGAATGGTTGGAAGGAGGGAAAGAGAGAAGAGAGATTTGCGGGGTTTGGGGGTGTAATGAAGGGCTATAATTGAGTGTTCCAGATTCATCCTTATCTTTTTCCCGCCATCACCCATCTTCATAATCGCTGGAAAAACAGTTTTCTTACTCATCATCAAGTCAAATAAACAAATACATAAATATTTCATATAAATAATTCAAATTTAGATTTTCATAAATTAACATTAATATAATCAATTTTAAAATTAAAAATATTTATATAAAAATTACGATTATTATATGAGAAACGTTAATATTAATAGTCATAATTGATAAAATTTCAATTATGATTATTATAATAATTAGTTGCTCTTATATTTATTTTACAGTTTTACCTTAATTCTAGATTTATATTTATAAATTTTATTCTTTACTTAATAATTCATCTTAATAATAAATTATTTCATTTCATCTTTTTTGAAATTGTCAAGAATAATTTATTTATTTTTTGGTAAAAATTCGTCAAGAACAACTTTATATAATAATCAAATAATTTTTAACTTTATTTTTTAAATTTTTTTTAACTTTGACTAAACGTAGATTTTAACTTAAAAAATGGGTAAAACATGCTCTTAAACTTCATCTTATAATCGATATAATTTTGAAAACAAAAATGAATTCGATGCCAAACCAAAGAAGCATGAAGTGTCTCTTTGGATCATCTTTTTTTTAAGCTAGAAACAAGCATAAGCTAAGTCAAAAATGTTTTGGAAAAAGCTTTTATAATGAAAAACTCCTTTTTTTATAATGAAGAAAAAAGTTGAAAGCTAAAAACTCTTAGGAGGATCTTTTTTTAAGCTCTTATATGCTTTTCTTAAATTGTGTGTTTTTTTTTAAACGAAGAGTTACAAAGATAAAGGGAGAGATCATTTTCGTGAAATATGTGCTTTTAAAAAAATTTAAGCTAAAATTTTTATGTAATTACCAAATAGCTTTTAGCTTTAATCTATAAGTAACTTCTAGCTTAAAAAAGAGAGGATCTAAACAGACTCTAAGTTGGTGGTTAGTGGAAAGGGAATTTGCATTGATATTATCAGGGCCATTTTAATTGGTTTGGTTCGTTAGACCAGTTCATTTGGTCAATAAAAGGGAACAGTGACCAAAATGTCACTTTTTGCTAAAAAATTTATCGAAATGTCACGCGAACAATATTTTTACCAGATTGCCACGTGTCATAATTCGCTATCACTAATAGCGAATTTCGTGACCAATAATTTCGTGACACGTGATCATATTGCAGACCAAATTCGCTACCAGTGATAGCGAATTATGACACGTCAACTTTTTCCTGCGAAAGTGTGTCACGTGTCATAAAATCATTGACGAACGTAATTTGCTACCAGTCATAGCGAATTACTCTCACGTGTCAGTCTAGTAAAAAGTACTGCTCGCGTGGTATTTAGATAAAAAATTTGTCAAAAATTGACATTTTGATCACTGTTCCCAATAAAAGTTTCGGTTGGACTAGTTTTCATTAAACCCTGTCCAAAGTTTATTTACTTATTTTAGTTTTTCATTATAAAATTAATTCCAATGTGATGTAATAAAAAACATGTTATACTTACATGATATCTTATGATATTATTTAATTAGTTTGACACATCATATAATTATTTTTTAGTTAATCCAATCTTAATTATATCTTTGAGACGAGTTGGCTCTTCCTGATATTTTCATAAGTTTCAATTCTTTTAGTCGGCTATAGAACTAATTTGAAATGAGCAAATCAGAAATGAAAATATTTAAACCTCTCTCGAAGAGAACATGTCTTTTCCTTTCCTTTTAATGCTTGATACCACATTTGGTCACATCATATAATTGTTAACGTAACTAAACTCCTCAAATAAATGTATTAAGTAAGATAAAAGAAAATAGTAGTAAAGAAATTTTCGAAAAATGGGAGAACAATAGATAAATCTAAAATAACTTAGCAGTCTGAGGCTCAGTGCAGGTGTCTCTTCACAGTGGATTCCATTTCACAACATAGCAAGTGGATGTAGGCAGCGCAGAGAATTCATGCAGGCTGCAGCAAAATCCAAACCAATGTTCCATTCGTCGCAATATGAGCTCTTTCCACATCCACGTGTGCTCACACTTGTTTCTCCAATTGCATGTAATTAATATTAGTGTTCAACTTCAACCCAACCACTACATGTCAAACCCACATATACCCTCTTTTCTCTTTTATCTATGTCTCTCTTCCATCACACTTAAACTGAACTAATTCAAAATCAAATCCAGTTTTTTCCTCTCCAGCTTATCATTGAACCTTCTTTTGAAGCAATGGAATTTCTGAATTTTTTGCTTAATTTGTTAGTACCTCCAGCCAGTTTGATCACGTTGGCTTTCTCATGGCCAGCACTTTGTTTTCTCAATGCTTGTGAGTGGCTCTATAACAGTTTATATGGTGAGAATATGGATAATAAAGTGGTCATAATCACTGGAGCATCTTCTGGCATAGGAGAGGCTAGTCCCCATTATTCCTCTTTCTAATTGATTTCATTTTCTTTTCTAATAAATGTAATTATGACTAGTGAGTTTTCTTATATGTCTGATTTGGAATTGCAGCAAATTGCATATGAATATGCAATGAGGAGAGCAAATTTAATGTTGGTGGCACGCAGAGAGCACAGGTTAAGAGGGATTGCTGAGAATGCTAGGCGAATGGGTGCAAGGCATGTGATGATTATGGCAGCAGATGTTGTGAAGGAAGATGACTGTAGGAGATTCGTCAATGAAACCATAAATGTCTATGGCCGTGGTATGTTCCATTTTCCACTTAAATCCAGCACCTTTCACATCATCATCATCATCCATTCTTCTTATTGCATATTAATTAATGGTCCTGAGTTTATATTGTAATCATTAATTTGATTGCACATTTAAATTATCATTGTAACACTTCAAACAATGAAAAGGAAAGGATAATTTGCATCTCTACATTCTTATTACTCATTTTTCCCATGGTGTCTTGCTTGTGTTTTTGTTTCTGTCTTTCGTGAGTGCAGTGGATCATCTAGTGAATACAGTCAGTTTGGGACATACATTCTACTTTGAAGAAGTTACAGACACATCAGTTTTCCCGGTTCTCCTGGTAAGAATTGAAATTTTTCCAAATTGAAATTTCAATTCTCATGGAATTCTAATTTGCCAATTATTCTTAAACTTTTTTTTTTTAATTCTCAGGATATTAATTTTTGGGGGAATGTTTATCCAACATTGGTGGCTCTTCCTTACCTTCATCAAAGCAATGGTCGTGTTATTATCAATGCTTCAGTTGAAAGTTGGTTACCCTTGCCAAGGATGAGTTTATATGCTGTAAGTACATATGCATGAAGTTAACATTCTCTGTTTTCTTTATAAAAATTATTTAGTTCTGAAGGTCCAGATATCTGGCTCTTTTTTCTGCTTAGTTAATCAATTTAGTTTACAAAATACAAGCAGAGAATTGCTGATGAGGCGGGCAAAAAATCAATTAACAGAAAAATGAGGAAATACATGCAAAACCGCTTATTTTATACCAAAAATATGTCAAGGAACAAAATCCCACATAAACATAATAATTTAAGAATATGCTAAACTTGCATTTAGTCCAATCTAAGCAAGTCTTTTTTTGTCAATTCAACTTTTCTGTTGTTCTATTGGTTTCTGATTCTCTATTCTCTTCATGTGTAAGGCTGCAAAGGCAGCATTAGTGAACTTCTATGAGACGCTGAGATTTGAATTGAAAGACGAGGTTGGAGTAACGATAGCGACACATGGTTGGATTGGAAGTGAAATGACGAGGGGCAAGTTCATGCTAGAGGAGGGTGCAGAGATGCAGTGGAAGGAAGAAAGAGAAGTAAGTCCATGCTACATGATGATTTCGTTTAACCAAAGAGGACTTGAGTAATGGTATTAGTCAATAATGATACTTGCAAATGGCAACAATTTAAGGGAAGGATTCGTTTATAATTTTTTTTTTACAAATTACACTAAGTCTGACCGCCGATCATACACTTTTGACTAAAATATGACTGATCAGACATAGTATAGTTTGTAAATATATATTTCCCTTTGCTATTCATATAAAATGTTGGATGGATACTTGAAATGTACAATCATGTTGTTGAATTCTTGATACTGGTTTGATTTTTGATTGTTCATTTAGGTTCATGTGAATGGTGGACCAGTAGAGGAATTTGCAAGGTTGATTGTATCTGGGGCATGTAGAGGAGATGCATATGTGAAGTATCCAAGCTGGTATGATGTATTCCTACTATATAGGGTGTTTGCTCCAAATGTTCTCAACTGGGCATTTCGGCTTCTCATTTCTCCCCAAGGGACGAGAAGAACTTCTTCTTATGTTGGGACTGGCAAACCCCTTGAAGTTGTGGGTATGGGGAGACCTATGTTAGAGGGAACGTCTCCTAGAAACACACACACTCCGCTTACCTTCTCTGGCCAGTTGAGTCAGCACAAGCTGGATTGAAACATCCACCATGCATTTTAACTTGTATTCTTGTATTCTCTCCAGAACCATGCTTTTGTAGTCCTATTTCATGTTCTCAGACTTGTGTGAAAAATGAAAATAAACTTTTATCAAAATGTCGGTTCCAAGCAAATTATGTTTTTATTTGATTTGGTTTAACACAAATATAGTTGACACATTATGAATAATCTTAAAATCTTAAAGTGGTCAGCATATATTATGGAACAGTGACCAAAGTCTCACTGTTTCCCATCTTATTTTCTTAAATGTCACGTTAATAATATTATTTCTCAATCTTTCACGCGAGAAAGTTTGCTGAGTAGTATAGTGAATTTGGTATGATGATGTGTTACCTTTCTGGTGAACATTAAGGTCACTGGTGTCAATAGCGAACTCTGAAGCAATTAATGTTTATACGGTGAACAAATTCACTGTCACAGGCAACGAAGTAGGGGTGATAGGTGTGTCACATGCACATAGTTCGCTCCTCAAGGGCACGACGAACTATGTGCCTTCTAGAATTTTACATCATGACAATTTGCTTGTTCTTTTTGTTGCACGGATTTAGAAAAAAACAATTATATTTCTCATTGAGTCATGCTATTCTTTGAGATGTGTGCAACTTTCGCTTGAATATGTTAAGCACGTGAAACATATTTTGAAATCTGATCATTACTATTTTCTGGTTTATTTTTGTTTTGGGTTTTTTTTTTTTTTTAATACAAGAAAAATATATGCAGCCTTTGTTTTGGTCAATCCATAACAAGTTTTGGTAAAATCTGTGTTTTAAAATTTAAAATCTGCTTCCTCAAGTTTTGGTAAAATAAAAAAATAAAAAAAATAAAATTATTTATTAGTTCCACTCAATTCACGCCATTATTAGTTGCACACATCTCAAAGAATAGCATGATTCAATAAGAAATATATTTGTTTTTCCTCAGAATCCGTGCAACAAAAAGAACAAGCAAATTGTCATAAAGGCATATAGTTTGTCAGGTCCCTCAGCGAACTATGTGCATGTGAGACACCTGTTATATCTATATCTAGTTCGCTGACTATGGCAGCAAATTTGTCCACTCAGCATTTAATGCTCCAGAATTCGCTACTGACATCAGTGACTTTGGTGTTCATCAGAAACGTGACACATCAGCACACCAAGTTCGCTACATTGCCCAATGAACTTGCTCCCGCGACAGATTGAGAAATAACACTATTGATGTGGCATTTAAGAAAATAAGATGGTCCGCATATGATGCGGTTAACAGAACACGAATAATATATATGTACTGAATATATGACACTAAATAAAATATATAATCCAAAAGAAGATTAATGTCTTCAATATCGTGTTGCAGGTTATCATGCAAAAGCATAACTTTTTCATGTAAATTCTTATCAACATGAATTTGAAAAACTTTTTCATGTAAATTTTTACGTGACAACGAATTATGTTAAAAACTAACTAAACGTGGGAAACATAAAATATAAGAGAAATTCATTTTTATTAACAAATTTAAAAGGTTATAAATATTTGAATTAAAAAGTATAAATACGAAATTACTTACAGTATAAGAAGAAGTTTTTTTTTTTTAATAATGTACATGTAACTTTTTCACTCCTAAATAATTACAAATACTTGAATTGAAAGCTATAACTTATAAATGCTATTCCACGTCAGAATTAGCATTGCCCCCAAATAGCGTGAGATATCTCGTAAAAATAAAAAAATTATATAATAGAAACTTAGGAGGTGTATTGGATTGAGATTTCAAAGGATTTTAATGGATTGTTTTTGGACAAAAAAATTCGTTGGTATTCAATTAGGATTTTAATAGATTGAAAAAAATCATGTGGTATTCGATTAGGATTTTAAAGAATTATTATAGAATCCGTCCAAATCCGTTGGTAATCAATCAGGATTTTAAACAATGGAATCACAATGTCATGGTATTCAAAAATCCGACGATTTTAATGGATTTTCTATTGGTGATGATTTCATGAGATTTTTTAGTGAAAAATATAAATAAGATGTCTCTTGTAAGAACCTGCACCGCTAATTAAAGAAATTAATTAGATAATTATGAGATAATTTCATAATTGACCCTAATAATTATTATGAGGCTTTAATAATTATAGTAAGTGAGTAGTAATGTTGAAAGTTGCTTTTCTGATGAAAAGCGCAGATACCGGTTCTGCTAGTCGGTATAAATGCATACCAAAAAAGTATCCTGGAAAATTATAATAAGTGCATGATAATTCCTAGAATAATATATAGGACTTGTAAAACGAGTTTCAAGTTAAAATAATGAGAACTGATGCCAGGAACTGATACTGGTTATGAAAAATATAAGAAAAAATGATAATTCTTGTAAAATTGAGTTGGTTAAGAATCCTAAGTTTGGGATTAAAATGCTAAGCGTAGCAATTAAAGTTAATACTGTGTGTTAAATGCTTAAGTGATTATATATAGGCTTATTAAGGCACAAAACCCTAGACACTCAGATTTGCTACGTGATTATATATAGGCTTAATAAGGCACAAAACCCTAGACACTCAGATTTGCTACGTGACCTTGTGGCTGATCAGCCCTCTCCCTTCTGCTCCATTGCCATCTCCTCCTTGTTCTTGGTAAACCTTAACCAAGTGACCACTTTTCTTGGTAGTTTCATCATCAAAACACCTTGTGGTTGCGTGGAGTAGCCTTGTGAGTGAGTGAGACTCCTTTTTCTGAGCATCCAGCTGCTATGAGGGAGTGTGGCTGGGTTGTGTTCCTTGTTGGTGAGGTAGGGGCCTTTACCTTGGCTTTGTGGAGCTTCATGGAGCTTTCTTTGTGAAGAAAGGAACCACCTTGGTGTGTTATTTTCGTTTTGTGTCAAAGTCAGAATCTTAAGGAGCTGTTGGTGAGCTCCAAGAGCACTCTTTCCTCTGTTCTTAAGCTTGGATAAGTGTCACCAACCTTGATCATGTGTTTTGTGCTTTAAAGATGAAGTCTTGGTATGTTAATGGGTTAAACAGGTAACTAACCTTAACATGAACCTAAAAATGTATAAAGATGCATGCTTGGACGTTGGAATGGCTTAAAAATGGAACCTTGGAAGTGATACTTCGCGAAATGCAGAATCTGCATTCTGTCGCGAATTATCCGGATATGATATCCGGATATTGATATCCGGATATGGGGATCTGGATATTGGGATATGCCCCCGACATATATCCGGATATTCTGGGATTTCGAAGAACAGTAGCTGCACTATTCATACAGTAGCTGCATTGTTGAAGTTGAAATTCTGTTTTAACTGAACTAAGTCAGAACCAAGTGGTTAAGGGCTTATGGCTTTGTGTGAAGCCTTAAGACATAAATCGTAAGAGGAAAACGTAGTCTTTATGTTTATGCTTATGAGCTATGAATGGTGATATGCTTGCTGGTCCTATCAGATTGTGATCTGCTGTGTGTTGGACTTGAGCTGTGTGGACTCTTGGCATTGGATAGTGAGCTTGCAAGGTAAGCTTTCGTGTCCTCGGTTTAGCCATGTTGTGGTTCCACCATGTCCCATGGGGGTATGGTTATATGCATGTTGTGTTACATACTTTTGATGTTTTGGAAATGTTGTTGAGCTGTTATATGTGAGTGCCTTTATGATATGCATGTGGTGTTCCACCTATACGGTAAGCCTGAGTATGTGGTACATACAAGATGGTGAGGCTGTGGGTGAGGTGCAAGCGGTGTTCCTTGTACTACGTGTGGGTAATAGACGTATTCATGTATTTCTCTGGCCAGTAGAATAGTTATAACACACATGGTATGAATATTTGTTGCACTGCGTAGTTTTGAGAACTTATATTGAATTACTGTCTTTAGAAATTCTATTGCACATGTAAGTGAGCTTGGGGTGGAAGATCCTTGAGGACCCCTTGTCTTACTGAGATTTCTGGTTTAGAGATCTCACCCAACGTTTGGGGAATGCTTATTTCAGGTTCAAGTAATGCGGGGGTTGAGACCTCTAGTGGCAGGAGACCAGAGTTTAGCTGATAGATGTTGCATGTTTATGCTGCTTTGCTGATATGCTGTTATGATTGGATGTTGGATCCTGTTTACTGTCTTATGCTTTTAGCTTCAGTTTATAGATTTATATGTTGAGACTTTGTTGGTTATGCTGTTGATTTGTTGAGCATGGGGATTGTCCATGCCACGTAGACTTGTTTATTGTCTTGTTTAATTTGGAGTTGTAATAATGTCTCAGGATATTGTCCGGACTATGTGTAGTAGATCCGTGACATAGATACTCACTTTATCTATATTATGAGGTTTTCCAGTTAGATGTCTTTTTGCAATTTACATACAGGCGATATCTTATGAAATTAATTAAGTAATCAACTTGGCTAAGTATAATGACGTCATAATTGAAAAGAAAAAGATATTCCGCATTTTTAATTAAGCGCAGCTTAATACGATGATATGTTAACCAACCGGGTATACACGGGGTGTTACACCTCTCTTACAATCTCACCCCAACTCCTAGGATTTCTTGAGATTCTTCTATTGCAGTGTTTTCTTCTTCCTTTGGTAGGTTGACCGCTCGAAATGGGTTTCGCCATAGGAGCTTCGTCAAAACTAAAAAAAAATAGCATATTTTTTAGCGATTTTCATCACAAAATAACCCAGAAACAACAAACCAACTAGATTTTAATATAATCTATTTCAAAAATAACATATTTTTGAGCCATTTTTGAGACATTTCGAAATTTTAAAAAGTGATTTTTCAAGCTATGAGTCGAGATTTTTCTTGGCACAAAAATATGCTTTTTGTATTAAAAACAACATAAAACAGTGAAAAAATAACAGGGAAACTTTCGTATTATTTTTGTTTTACATCAATAAAACAATATCAATTTAAAGAAAGATTGAAACTTTCATAATATGAACCCTATATTTCGTAACAATACATTCATGAACGAAATTCCTTCACTATAGGAAACGATTTCAAACAATTTTATTGTCAATAGATAACTAAAAGCTTGTTTCTCAAAAGCCCCAAAGCAATTTAAAGTTTCAATGTATCGATTGAAAAAAAATTGAGAAATTTTTTAAACTTTCATGTAATTAAACCCAAAATTTTAGATTCAAAATTTTCTTAATATTCAATGAAAATATGCATATGATATATGGTTAGAAAATTTCAAAAACTCCAAGGTTTTCAAGATCAATTGCAAAAAATTCCAAACGAAATTTTATCATGAACTTCAGGTTCTATTTGCAAATTTAGAATTATTTCTATAATTAAAAAAATTGGGTCTTGTAATCATATATACATAGCTTTGATACCAAATGAAGAAGAAGATTTTTAACCCATTAGATATGTGAAAAGTTGTTGTTTAAAAATTCTGAATGTTTGTTAAAAATTATATTAATGTTTGGGGCAGGATATACTTACCACCAAAATTTTTTACCACTTTTACAACCAACTTAATCACCATTGATTTCCTTCAATCTAACAGTTATAATTTATTGGAAATTAATAAATACGACCTAATATTTTCAATAAATTATAACCGTTAGATTGACGAAAATCAATGGTGATTAAGTTAGTTGTAAAGGTTGTAAACTTTTTTTGTGGTAAGTATATCCTTCCCCATTATGTTTTACTGATTGAGAAAATTATATTTGGTTTTACTTTTTTATTAATTTCATTGTATTTCTTTGTTATTTTTTTTAAGGCGAAGATTATATTTACAACCTATTTTTGTCTACAACCTTTTACAACAATATCTTAACCGTTGATTTCCGTTAATCAGTGGTTATTATTTTCGCAAATCAAACTTATTAATTAATATTTAATTTGTAATGAATGATAACCATTGATTGACAGAAATCAACGGTTAAGATATGATTGTAAAATATTGTAAACAAAAATAGGTTGTAAGTATAACATTTCCCTTTTGTATTGACTCTTGTAATTTTGAATGTTTGTTAAAAATTCATATGATTTTTTAAAATCTTATAAATCCATATTGTCCCTTCAAATCTTATGAATTCTATTAAAATCCTTTAAAATCCAATCCTATGAAATCTTGATTGTAAAAAAAATCTTTTAAGAAAGTCTATAAAGTCTCTCCAATTCTAAAATGTCATTTAAAATCTGTAAAAAAATTTATCTGAAAAAAATCTTTTAAAATCCTAATCCAATATACCCCTCTTAGATTAAAGTTTAGTTTCTCTGTATTATGTAAAAAGGATGAATTATAAGGCTGTCTTGGTCCAAATAGTTATTAAGCTAACCCCTGATATTCCGAAGTTTGCAGGGGGGGTATTTTGATGGAAATCAAATCGAATTTGGCAAATATAGTGCAGTGGTGCATCAGCAATAAAGCTAAGTTAGCCGGTAAGGTTGTTCACGCTCGAATCTTCCGTCTGGCCATTTTCTCAGACACCTTTATCTCAAACCATCTCATCGAGTTGTATTCCAAGTGCGATGATATTGGCACTGCCTATAACGTGTTCGCTAAAATACCCGACAGGAACATCTTTTCCTGGAACGCCATCTTGGCTGCTTATTGCAAAACCAGCAATTTGCAACATGCGTGTCGTTTGTTCCTGCAAATGCCTGAAAGGAACACTGTGTCATTGAACACCATAATTAGCACCATGGTACGATCTGGGTATGAACGCCAGGCATTGGATACCTATGATTCCGTGATGCTAGATGGAGTTAAACCCTCCCATATAACATTGGCTACCGTTTTTAGTGCGTGTAGTGCTTTATTGGATGCGGATTGTGGTAGGAGAAATCATGGGCTTGTGGTCAAGTTTGGTCTTGATGGTAATATATATGTAGTTAATGCTCTGTTGTGCATGTATGCTAAGTGTGGGCTTAATGGAGATGCAGTTCGTGTTTTTGGGGACATTCCTGAGCCTAATGAGGTTACTTTTACTACAATGATGGGTGGATTAGCACAAACAAATCAAGTCAAGGAAGCTTCAGAAATGTTTAGACTCATGTTGAGAAAAGGGATTCGTATAGATTCTGTCTCATTGTCGAGCATATTGGGTGTCTGTGCAAAAGGAGGATTTGGGGAAGTCGAAATTGGTTCCTGTGATCACAGTCATGGCTTTTCAACTAACGCACTAGGAAAACAAATACACACACTCTCAGTTAAACTGGGATTTGAGAGAGACCTCCATTTAAACAATTCGATGCTTGATATGTATGCAAAAATTGGGGACATGGATAGTGCTGAAAAGGTTTTTGTCAATTTGAATCAGCATAGTGTTGTTTCTTGGAATATAATGATAGCTGGGTATGGGAACAGATGCAACAGTGAGAAAGCTGTAGAGTATTTTCAGATAATGCAGTGTGATGGATATGAACCAGATGATGTTACTTATATTAATATGCTGGCGGCATGTGTCAAGTCTGGGGATGTTAAAGCTGGGCGTCAAATATTCGACTGCATGCCTTGTCCAAGTTTGACTTCATGGAATGCTATACTCTCATGCTATAACCAGAATGCAGATCACAAAGAGGCAGTTAAACTGTTTAGAAAAATGCAGTTTCAAAGCCAACATCCTGATCGGACTACTTTGGCCATTATTCTAAGTTCATGTGCTGAATTAGGACTTATTGAGGCTGGAAAACAGGTTCATGCAGCCTCTCAAAAGTTTGGATTTTATGATGATGTGTACGTTGCCAGTAGCCTTATAAATGTGTACTCAAAATGTGGGAAAATGGAGTTGTCTAGGTTTGTATTCAGTAAACTGCCTGAACTAGATGTTGTTTGTTGGAACTCAATGATAGCAGGGTTCTCAATCAATTCTCTTGAACAAGATGCTTTGTCTTTCTTTAAGCAGATGCGACAATTTGGCTTCTTTCCTTCCGAGTTTTCTTTTGCTACCATAGTGAGCTCTTGCGCAAAACTTTCTTCCTTATTTCAAGGACAGCAGATTCATGCTCAGATCATAAAAGATGGTTATGTAGATGACATATTTGTGGGGAGTTCTCTTATAGAAATGTATTTTAAATGTGGGGACGTAGGTGGTGCCAAATGTTTTTTCGATATGATGCCCAGTAAAAATACTGTTACTTGGAATGAAATGATACACGGTTATGCACAAAATGGATGTGGTGATGAGGCTGTTTGCCTTTATAAGGACATGATTTCATCTGGTGAGAAACCTGATGATATTACTTTTGTTGCTGTTTTGACTGCTTGTAGCCACTCGGCATTGGTTGATGAAGGGGTTGAAATATTCAATTCAATTCTGCAAAAATTTGGAGTGGTGCCAAAGTTGGATCATTATACTTGCATCATAGACTGTCTGAGCCGAGCAGGGCGGTTCCATGAAGTAGAAGTCATTCTAGATACTATGCCGTCTAAAGATGATGCAGTTATATGGGAGGTTGTGCTAAGCTCATGCCGTATTCATGCTAACTTGAGCTTAGCAAAAAGAGCAGCTGAGCAACTCTATCGACTGGACCCGCAAAACTCTGCCTCTTATGTGCTTCTTGCCAACATGTATTCTTCTTTGGGAAGATGGGATGATGCCCAGGTTGTTAGAGATCTGATGACTGATAACCAGGTCCGTAAGGATCCTGGTTATAGCCGTAGTGTGCATGAATGATACTCAAATAATTCTGGAAAACAAACAGTAATATGTTAAGATCCAGTTGTAAGATATGAGACTTGGAATATTATATCGGAAACATAAGATGATGGTATAGGGTTTATATAGACTTTGAGTTCTCTTACCTTACAAGCTAGCTCTTGGGATGAGACTCTCCCAAGATTCATATTAATTGGTATCAAAACTTCTACTATATCTCCCAATTGGGGCTAGTAAAATCTAGTTGCATGAGATTTGGAGTACTACATCAGAAACATAGACTTGGAGATCTAGTTATGGAGTGAAACTACCACCATGTTAATAATTTAGTTTCACTATTCTTAATTTCTTTAATTCTGCTGGAAGATGGTTAATAATTGTCCTGGCAGCACTTTGATAACTCAGTGGAAATCTAACTTAATGATTGCTTATTAAACTGGAGTTTGATGTTGTCTGGATGACATATTTGAGATGCAATGCAGTTTAAAATTTAAATCCCTTGAAAATTTTCATGGAACACTTCGCTTTCTGAATCTTGAAGAATTTACTGCCGTGCCGATTTAGGAAGGCCCGGACCTGAAATTACAAGTTTTACAGCTTGGGGAATCTTTTCTTGGTGATATATGGCCTATAAAATGATATATCTTTTCCTATATTGGTGATTGGCATCTTTCATGTCTCCAATGAATTCCATGATGTAAACACCTGAAAAATTGCAGGTTGGTTTTTGTGGTGACGAGTAATGTCAAGAATACAAAAACAAATCAGGGAATCACAAGTTTTTTTCCTTCTTTTTTTTTTTTTAACATTTGAGAAATGGTATCTCAGCGAAAAGAAAAAATTAAAGGAAAATTTGTAAATTTTTATTAAAATGTCATTTTATTTAAAAAATTAGATGGACACAAAAAGAGACAAATGATATGAATCCCAAAATACATGTATACATATAGTTGAAAGCTGCATCAAATCCTAAAGTGACTTTTGGATAACGATAATTGGATGACTGCTAGATGGACAAAATCATACAAATAAACTAATATGCGGAGCGCTTACGTATTGTGTTGATTCGTGTTGGAATATTTTGGTAACTTGAGTAGTCTGCTGATGGTGTTGGTATAAATCCGAAGCTAAATGTAATATTGTATATTTAGGATTTTTTGCTATCGTTTGAATTGGAATCCGCTATAAGAATATACTAACTTACAAGAATATTCTTATGGAGCCAACCTACATTTGTATATGACGGGGCCCAACCAGTGGCGGACCCAGAACTTTTTATAGTGGGAAGTGAATTTTTTTTTATATTATTAAGAAAAGTACATATAATTATATATGAACCTAATAGAAAAAGTTTGAAAGATTTTTATTATAAAATTCAAGGCCAATTCACTTAACTCTTGCTTTACGTTTTTTCATATTATTAAACTCTTCTATAATTGAATCTGTGCTAAAATTCAAAACAATTTATTTTTCAATATATGTAATCAAAGAATCATCAAGAAATTGATCTTCCATTCAATTTCAAAGTCTGGTCTTGATTATCTTCCATTCGACAATGGATGCGAGCTCTTTTCCTTCCCCAATATTTAGCTCAAAAAATTGGAACCCCTGTTTGTGTTTTGCTGTGTTGTCTTCTTTGACAATGATTTTCGTCACCCTTTTGATAATCAAGTGTGCCTGATTTTGAAATTTTTTCTTGAGCCCTAAAAGTTTGCTACATCCTTTGGAAAAAACTACAATTTCAATCTCTACAGTTGTGTTTGTTTAAGACTTTTTGAAACTTTTAGCCCAATTACTTAATTTTTTTAGCCAAAATTAATTTTTTTCAGCCCAAAATTATATATATATATATATATATATATATAGTAAAACAAAATCTAAAAATCAAGGAGGGGCGGTGGCCAACCCTAGCCCCTCCCCTGGGTCCGCCTATGGGCCCAACATATATTTGTAAATATTCATATTAAAAAGAAGAAGAAGAAGAAGAAGAGTTGGACTGAAAATTTTAATATGACCCTCTGTTCGCATCTGGGGCACCATAGTGACAGATACAGTGATGGGGTTGATGGTCTTATAAGAATAGGATGGTAGGAGGAACATTGACGTAAATGTCACATTTTCTCAACAAAAAAAATTCAAATATCACGCGTATTACACGATGCAGGCTCACAGCCCATTCAACAAGAGCCCATTCAACAGGAGCCCAATGCTTACATAAACTCAATATCAGATAAACGGTTCAATGCTAGTAATCATGACAGAAATGGCGACAGCTCACTTTGTTAGGAGTTTGTTAGGAGGCCACGTGCCACATAACTGTTTTTATCTTTCTGTTAAACCATTTTCATTATTGCACACTTGTATCTAATATATATTGTAGATGTACATGTAACGGCTCATTCAAGAAAATGAATTCCAGTTTTATAAACCTATTCTCTCTGTTCTTTGATTCTCAAGATGGTATCAAAGCTTGAGTGACTATAAGGTCACAAGTTCGATCCTCACCGTCCCCCGCTTTAAAGTGGAATTAAAAATAAAAAGCACAAAAAGGTAAATCAAAAATTGGGTCTGTGCATAATCCACGCTTCAAGCCCAATGGCTCTCGTGTGAGGGGGCGTGTTGAGATATATAGTCCCACATTGATTGTGTGGGCAACTAATGTGGCCTTTATAAGGCCTTGGGCACTCCTACCCTTTGAGCTAGCTCTGATACTCTGCTTCGTTCTCTTTCGATTTTTTTCTTGCTCCCGATTTTCTTGGTTGTAATGGATCAACCACTAGTAATGGATCAAGCTCCTGTGATGAATCAACCTCCTCAATTGAATCAACCTCCTTTGGTGAGTCAATCTCCTCTCCCTGAGTTCCTAACGAATCCTTCTCATCATCTTTTCTTGCATGCAAGTGAAAATCCATCTCAGGTGTTGGTCACTCCTCCATTGAATGGATCTAACTACATGCATGGTGCCGAGCCATGACAATGGCTTTGAAATCTAAAAATAAACTTGGTTTTATTAATGGAAATCTTCCTCCACCGTCTATTGATGATCCCACATTTGAAACTTGGGATCGATGCAACACCATAGTTCTTGGATGGATCCATAGATCTATTACACAGAATATTGCTCAGTCCATATTGTGGATTGAAAAGGCCTCAGATGCATGGCATGATTTGAAACATCAATTTTCTCAATCAGATGTATTTCCTATGTGTGATTTGCAAGAAGACGTGTATAAGCTATGTCAAGGAAACAAGAATGTTAGTGAGTATTTCACTATGCTGAAAACAATGTGGGAAGAAATGGAGAATTTGAAGCCAATTCCCAGTCCAATAGCTCCATGTGCATGTGGAGCAATAACAAAAATGCGTCAGCTTCGTGAGAATGATCAGACTGTAAGATTTCTTTGTGGCCTTAATGATCAGTAATCTCAGCAAAGGCTTTTTCTCTGGTGATACAACAAGAACGTCAGATGCAGTCTGAAAGTAATCTGAATTTCACAAGTAGCCATCAAACTCTTCCAGCAATAGGAGACCAGTCAAGAAGGAACAATTATTTCAATAATGGAAGAGGATATAGAGGACGTGGTCGCTATAATGGAGGATGAGGACAAAATACTGCACGATTCTGTGCACATTGTAACAGAAATAACCGCACTATTGAGTCTTGCTATGTTCTTCATGGCTTTCCATCAGGCTACAGGAACTATGGAAGAAGAGGAGCTATGTCAGCAGTTAATGCAATTACCAACTTTCCGTTCCAAGAAGAGAATTTGATGAAGCATGACAATTCTGTTAATGCAGTTAACAATTTTCAGTTCCAAGAAGGGAATGTAATGAAACATGATAATTCTTCAATGGCTGCTATCCATGATCAGTATCAACATATATTGAATATGTTACATCATTCCAATGCTGGAGACACAGTACCTACCAAGCATTCTGCAAATGCTGCTATTGTTTCACACACGAACACAGCTCCATCAGGTATGAGCAGTTTTGATTGGGTGATTGATACTGGGGCCACAGATCATATAACTTTCCTTTTGTTTAATTTTTCCTTTTTTCATACAATTGATCCCATTACTATATCTCTCCCAAACAGTTCCATTGTTAATGCCACAATTTCTGGCACAATAATCATTTCTCCTTCACTTGTTCTTACTGAAGTACTTTTTGTTTCAGAATTTCATATTAACCTTCTGTCGGTTACAAAGCTACTAATTGCCATTCCTTGCTTGTTTACTTTTGACAATTCTTATTGTTACATCCAACAGAAATTCCAAGGCTACCATATAATTCCCTTACCTGTGAACTACAATGGTTACAACATCTATTCCATGATCTCCATATTCCTTGGTCCAAACCGGCATCAGTTTACTACGACAACAAATCTGCCATCTACCTAGCACGCAACCCAGCCTTCCATGAACGTTCCAAGCATATTGACATTGACTGCCATGTCACCCGTGAAAAGCTTTGTGGTCTTCTCCACCTTCTTCCAGTTTCCTCTGCTGACCAGGTTGCTGATGTTTTTACGAAGCCTCTTCTCCAAAGCTTTTCATTCCAACTATTCACAAGTTGGGCCTATTCAACCTCCATAGTCCCACTTGCGGGGGGGTATTACACGATGCAGGCTCACAGCCCATTCAACAAGAGCCTAATGCTTACATAAACTCAATATCAGATAAATGGTTCAATGCTACTAATAATGACAGAAATGGTGACAGCTCACTTTGTTAGGAGTTTGTTAGGAGGCCACGTGCCACATAACTGTTTTTATCTTTCTGTTAAACCATTTTCATTATTGCACACTTGTATCTAATATATATTGTAGATGTACATGTAATGGTTCATTCAAGAAAATGAATTCCAGTTTTATAAACCTATTCTCTCTGTTCTTTGATTCTCAAGAACGCGAACAATAATTTTTATCAGATTGATACGTATTCAAATTTGCTACCAGTCATAACGAATTTGATCAAGTCACGTGATATGTTTCCATTAATATATCAAGTTCGCTATCAATGATAGAGAATTTAATCACTTATAATTTTGTGACATGTGCACACTTTGTAAGAAAAAAAGCTAACTAGACTAAATTTGTTATCGCTAATAGCTAATTTGATACGTTAATGGAAATGTATTACGTAACCTAATCAAATTTGCTATAACCGATAATAAACTTGGATGTATGTCAGTCTAGTAAAAATGTGGCATTTTAATAAAAAAAATTTTTTTTAAAAAGGGGGCATTTACGTCACTTTTCCATTATAGGATGCCACAGTCAATTGACTTCAACAATTGTCTCGTCTTGTATTTTTTTCTAGTTGATACTGTCCCATTAAAACTGCTGGCCAAGAAATACGGGTCTATGACACCTACAGGCTACAAGCGATCAAGAGGTTGGAACTTGGAAATTCCAAGTTGGAATCATGCAACCTCTTGTGGCGTGATACATCAAGCATATCACTATTACCAAATAAGTCAGGCCAGGGTGTTTGAGATTTTTATCCACAATACCCCATATTAAGGTCATATATGTGCAGGATAGAGGGTGAGGCTCACGGCAGCTTTATGTATTTTATTTTATTTTTATTTATTTTTTTGATAATCAGCTTTATGTATTAATTGGTATGAATTGAAGTGATTGAGTTTTTTTTTTTTAATATAAAATATTATAACTTTTTCTTTTATGATATTTGTTACTGGGTGTCTTCGCGATAAGAGGTGTTTAATATTTTTATTTAGTATTTTTTTTTTGGTGAAGTATTCAGCATCTTTTATTTTAATTCTTTAACTGCACGAATTAACATTTACATCATCACATTGAAGGAATCCAAAGAAAAGATCAAACGTTTAACGTGGCAGTCGCCTGTGGTGTATAAATTATAAAAGAATATTTTTTTATTAAACGAAGTTGTGGGGTATAAATGATGTAGCAATTTGATGATTATCATATTGATATCCAATCCAATCCACAGAGTGAAACTCTTGGGAAGATGGAGGGTAGTATCCGGTGCTCCGCCAACTACGTTCCTCTGACTCCCATAAGCTTTTTGGAGCGCTCAGCCATTGTTTACCGTGACAGACTTTCACTCATCTTCGATGACGTCACCTACACATGGGCACAGACCCATCAACGTTGTACCAAACTTGCTTCTGCCATTTCTCAACTCGGTGTTTCTCCCGGGGATGTGGTTTGTTTCTCAATTCCTTCAATCATCTTCCCCAATTTCCACTTTCCGGTTTTTGTTTTTTCTACCCACTATGATCAATTTGACACCCATCAAGAGTTTGTAAGACATATCCATTTCTGAGCATAAAAGGTTATTATTACTAATGGGCCCACTGTGCAATGATCCTTCAACTGGATTACCAAAAAAGGGAAATAAAAAAAGCTTGATTTTTTATGGAATCCATCTTCTAACGATCTTCATTCTACTGACATATACTAGTCAGTGCGCTTGTAATGTGTTTTTTTTTTTTTTTTGGAAGCTCTTGTATTATTGATATTTGATTGTACTAGTTTGTTCTTTTTCTGTTAATCTCATATGGTTGGAATGAAATATAATTATAAATAGGTTGCCTAGAATACTACTGGCTGCTAAGCCAGTCTTGATAATTATTTGTGATTTGTTATGAATTTGCACTTATTTGGCCAGGTTGCTGTATTGGCCCCAAATATTCCAGCTATGTATGAGCTACATTTTGGTGTTCCAATGTCAGGGGCTATTCTCTGCACGTTAAATACCCGTCACGATTCGGCAATGGTTTCAGTGTTATTAAAACATTCTGAGGCCAAAATGCTTTTCGTAGACTATCAATTGTTTGATATTGCTCAAGGAGCACTTGAAATCCTGTCAAAAACAACAACCAAGCTTCCCCTTCTGGTCTTAATTTTGGAGTGTGGTCAGCCATCACCTGATACTGGTAAAAATTCATCCTTTCCTGGAACGTTGATATATGATAATCTTATAGCTAAAGGAGAACTTGGATTCGAGGTGAGAAGGCCAAAGGATGAATGGGAACCAATCTCACTCAATTACACTTCTGGAACTACATCAAGCCCTAAGGGTGTAATCTATAGCCATAGAGGTGCCTATCTTAATTCTTTGGCTACAGTTCTTCTTAATGAGATGAGGTCTATGCCAGTATATTTATGGTGTGTCCCAATGTTTCATTGCAATGGATGGTGCCTCCCTTGGGGTATTGCTGCACAGGGTGGCACAAGTGTCTGCCAAAGAAGTGTGACTGCTGAAGGGATATTTGACAATATTTATGAGCACAAGGTAACCCACATGGGGGGAGCACCAACAGTTTTAAACATGATAATAAATTCACCACTCGAAGTCCGAAAGCCACTTCCAGGAAAGGTAGCAGTGATGACAGGTGCTTCTCCACCACCCCCGGATGTGCTTTTTAGGATGGAAGAGCTAGGATTCATTGTGACTCATTCATATGGTTTGACAGAAACTTATGGTCCAGGAGCAATTTGCACATGGAAACCAGAATGGGATAGCCTTCCTCGAGATGCACAAGCAAAAATCAAGGCCCGTCAAGGAGTGCACCATCTTGGAATGGAAGAACTTGATATAAAAGATCCTCTCACAATGAAGAGTGTACCAGCTGATGCAAAAACAATGGGTGAGGTGATGTTCAGGGGAAACACCGTGATGAATGGATATCTAAAGGATTTGAGAGCAACACAAGATGCATTTAAAGGAGGATGGTTTAGGAGTGGGGACTTGGGTGTAAAGCATTCAGATGGTTACATAGAACTTAAGGACCGCTCAAAGGACATAATCATCTCAGGGGGTGAAAATATTAGCACCATTGAATTGGAAGGTGTGATTTTTAGTCACCCAGCAGTTCTTGAGGCAGCTGTTGTTGGGAGACCTGATGATTATTGGGGAGAGACACCTTGTGCATTTGTGAAGCTGAAAGAGGGTTACAATGTAAAACCAGAGGAGATAATACAATTCTGTCAGAACCGTTTGCCTCGTTATATGTCTCCAAAAACTGTGGTGTTCTCTGATCTGCCAAAGACATCAACTGGCAAGACACAGAAATATGCTCTGAGGGAGAAGGCAAAGGCCATGGGAAGCTTGTTTAAGAAGAACAATAATAGCCGCTTATAAAAGCACATTCATTTCGCAATTTGAATGCAAGATTTGTAAAAGTTATCTGATTTCATGTTGTAATTTTAATTCCTGTGTAAAATATGTCTATTTGCTGAATGAATAAAACACGTACTTGTAAACTCAACTGGACTAAGGTTGATCTTTTTATCTATTCAAGGGTGAGAGAACAAAGAATTACTTCTATCTCTTCCAATTTTCTCCTTTTTAAACCCTATCTGGTTATCGATTGATCCTCGAATCTGTTATCACTACCACTGCTACCTACAATAAAAATACAACAACAATAACCGTATTGCAACGGTTCTAACAGACTTACAGTACTTACCGACGTACATCTATCTCATCATGAAACCTGTGTGCGATGTTCACCGTATTTCAACTCTTGCGTAGTCTTTCTGATGCTGGAATCAAGGAGAGGTAGGTAAGAACTCGATGGAGGTGACTTGATGTTCTTTTTTTGTATTCAGCATGCATGCTAATTTGGTTCTGTCTCTGTACTTATAGTTGCTATTTTTGATGCATCCTCTTACTATTCGACAAAATGTCAAGTCGAAACTTCCCATGAAAGCAACTTTTAATAGGAAGTGGTTTTTAATTTTTTTTTTTTTTTTTTTCTGTCATGAGTTAACATTGTTAATTATTTTTAAATATATGAGTGATTTTTATCACTTTAGTTTACAAATTCTAGCTGAAGTTTACAATATTTAAAAGTAAATTTATTGTTCCAAAAGAAAATAAAATAAAAAAATTATCATATTATTTATAAGTTGAATAATTACTACTAATGGAAGGCACTAAATTGTATTTTTTTTTATATAGACAAATATATTCGTAAATACTGAATTGCGCTCATATGGTTAAAAAATGGGTACCGTACACAAGTTTTAGTGGTTTTCCAAGGAATTAATACTAATTACTAAACACAAATTCAAATAGTGTGTCAAACTGGTCAATTTCAGTTTTTGTTTAGGCATCGTTTCTTTTTTCAATTTAATTTTCCTTTGCTTCGAAGGCAGCACTAATTATACTTGTGATTATTAATTTATACATCTAACTCATACACAAAAATTACTTATCAAACACTCTTTCAAAAATGGTAAAGAGTTTAGACCGCTTGACAAGAGGTTTTGAGATTGAGTCCCACTAATGGAAAAAAAAAGATTTGGGATAGCTGTCCCTTTTAATATGGTTCTATAAGTTCTCGAACCAAATTTAGTCGGAAAAATGAACTCGATGAGAAACTTAAAAAAAAAAACTTGAACGCCTAAAGATAATCTTCAATGGAAATGCTCAAGGCCTCCCCTTCTCTATAATCTTCAGTTCCTTGCCAAGTCCCACAGTCATCCCCTAAACCTTCCCACCAAAACACATCAAGAGAATGATCAGTATCAGTTTTCTTTTCATTTTCGTAAGTTTCTGCCACCGGTGATGTTTTGCCAGCAATGTTGCGGGCATCAACATCCATGCCAGCATCCGAAGCCACCTTCTGAACAGACCTGGGAGACATGTCCCTTTGCTGAACACAATAGTAAGACAAAGTCTCAGGGAAGTTAAGTCTGTCCAACTTCGAAGGACTCCTCAGACAATACACAGCTACGTCGTGAGCCACAGCTGCAGCCTCCGGTGTGGCATATGTACCCAACCAGAGGCGTTCTTGCGTGCCAGGCACACGAATCTCCGATACCCATTTGCCCCATTTTCGTCGCCGAACTCCCTTAAACTTCTTGTGCTCATTTGCGGTAGTCGTTCCATGCAGCCCTGATGAATTGAAACTCATTTAGGCACAACTTGATGGATATGTTTACAGTGACTTTCTTTGTGCCCTTTCGTGGATCGCGTTGTGAGAGAAGAGGGTAAATAGGATGTGCTTATAAAGGTTGAAGATTTTCAGATTCAAAGGGGTTCGAAGACTGAAAAGGCAAGCAAATTAGGATTATGAGGTGGGGGAAAGTTGGGGTGGACCGCAAAAATAAAGTCAAAAACTTCAAAGGTCAGAGTAAAATAGAAGGTTTGAGATGGTTAAAGTCAACCTAATAATATAAAAAATCTGTTGTTGGATGGTATAACGGAATCAGCAGCAAGCAGACCAATTGACCCAGTAATCTATTATATAATTTAAAAAGTTTGGCATTTGTTTTAAAATTTTGAATTCTTATTAGTTATTTTTTTTTAATTTTCTTTTCTTTCATTAATATTTTTCTTATTTTTTTATATTCTAATTTTATAAAATTTTCATTTTCTTGTTTTATTCATTTATTAATATTTATATATACAATTAACAAAAATTTATTAGAAATTATACTTTTATTATAATAATTAATAGAATTTATAAGTAATAAATTAAACAAATAACTAAATTTTTATCAATAATATAAATTTAATATTATAAATATTAATATTAATAATATTTTTAATATAATATATTAAATATAAAAAAAATAATTCAATATTTCAGTTACTATATATTTTAAAGGATATTACATAATATGAGATATATATCTATTTTTAAATTTTATTTATTTATAGAAAATTATATGTTTATAAATATATATTTATCATATAAAGAACTTAGGATGGTGTCAAGTAATAAAACAGTTAACAAGTTTAGGTAAATAATGACTCATTAATATAACAATTATAGTTTTGCGATTAAATTAAATAAATTTAACGATCATGATACCAGATTGTAAAATAAAAAAAAATAAAAAGTTATATATTCATTTTTATAAAATAAAATTGAGTCACATCTTTATTAAATAAATATGAGTTTCTCTATTATACTTTATAATATTATATTTAAATATATTTATATTGTTTAATTCTACATTTAAAATATTCGATTAAATATGATCTTTGAAATATTTTAACTATAAAATTTCAATAAATAAAATCAAATTAAACATTTATCTTGCAAATACAAAATTTATAACTATATATTTAATTTAAATAAGTCAATATAATAACTAGCTACTCTATCAATCAAGTATCATGTATCTATTATCCGATTTGATTGAAAACTGGAAACCAGTGACTCGTCTCCTTGTTAATAAAGTGACGGCCAATTCCTTTGTGCTTTTAGCTTTATAAAGCCCAAACGCAGTCCCGAGGGTTGGAAATCACACCCGTGGGATTAAATAGTGGCTACTTAAGTAGACTGATCTCAACCATAGGTAGCAGATATTCTGGAGCAAAACTTAGGTCGGTGCAATGAATCGCGCGTGGATGGAGATATCATGTTATGTCACGAGTGACGCTGTAAAGTATAACGTGTTCTACACTTTCCTTAGACCACTTATTTGTTATGTTAACTTTGTTATGACTGAGTATAAAAAACACGTGCTGACTATAGTATAATATTTAATAACTATTTTGTCATAATATAATTTTAAAAATAACTGTAATTCTTTTTCCCATGAAACTCTTTTATATAAATGGGTTTATCTAGTCTCATATAACTTTTGAATAGTATAAATTTTTCATTTTAAGTAAATTTTTAAAAAATATTAAATTATATGCATCATGGCAGTTAACTCCTGTTTGTCATTTTCAACTACAGTAATGCCACCCTTTTTTGGAACGCATTGCACAGGAGCAACCCATTTACTATCTGAGATGGGATAGATTATACTTGCACCAAGCCATTTGATGACTTCTTTTCTTACCACCTCCTTCATATTGGGATTCAGCCTCCTTTGATTCTCCACAGATGAGCTGTCAGGGTCTTGGAGCAAAATCTTGTGCATGCAAATTGTTGGGCTAATTCCTTTTCTGTCAGCCATGGTCCAGCCGATTGCTCCTTTGTAATCTTTGAGCTTTTGTGTGAGTTGAAGTTCCTGTTCATGGGTTAGCAAAGAAGAAATAATCACAGGGAGAGTGTTGTCTTTACCCAAATAAGTATATTTCAGGTGTTCAGGTAAGGGTTTTAACTCCAAGATATGTGGTTGCTCTACTGAAGGCAATTTTGATCTTTGCTCTTGCTCTGATCGATTTAAGGATTCAAAGACCCTTTATTTCCTTCCCTGGGGTTGAGTGAAAACTGATGGATGCAAGGTATTCTTCCAGCTCCTCAAAGTCCTTAATGCCTATCTCTGGCTGCAAATGCTCCTGTTGTTCTTCTCGTATGACCGAGTCAAGGATCGAAATGCTAGAGCATTCCTCAGTGTTATCTTCATCAAACCTTATTGCTTTCATGACATTAAACTTCACTACTTATCCGTTTACACTCATAGAAAGTTCACCCTTTCTGACATTTATGATAGCATCACCGGTAGCCAGAAATGGTCTGCCCAAAATTATTGGAACTTCTTGATCTGCTTCAAAATCTAAGATGATGAAGTCAGCTGGTAGAATGAACTTGTCTACTTGGACAAGGATATTCTCAATTTTTCCTTCTGGCTTGGCTATAGATCGGTCTGCAAGTTGAAGAGTGATTGTGGTTGGTCTTGCTGCTCCTATGTTAAGCTGCTTGAAGATGGAAGCCGGCATTAGATTTACACTTGAGCCCAGATCACAAAGTGCCCGACCAAGATAGTTCTTCCCAACTGTACACGGGATGGTGAATATACCAGGATCCTTTAGTTTGAGAGGAATTTTAGTCAGGTACTTGCACGATTGTTGAGTGAGGGCTACGGTCTCAAACTCTTCGATCTTTCTTCTTTTTGACAAAATGTCCTTCATGAATTTTGCATATGAAGGCATTTGCTCCAGGGCTTCTACTAGAGGGATATTTATGTGAAGTTGTTTCATCAAGTCAAGAAACTGGCTAAACTGTTTATCCTCGTGTTGATTTTTCAACCTTTGTGGAAAAGGAGGCTCGATTGGTTCACTCCTTCTCTTGCATGGGGGAACATAAGTTGGAACTGAAACTGGTTCACTGACTTTTGTTGCTCCAAGTTCTGCTACAGGTGTTGCGTCATCCGGTTTGATTTCAGCAGACTCATTGCTTTGGACCTTCTCTTCTGGTTCTGTCTGAGCTTCAAGGTGTGAAGGGTCAGTGGCTTCTTCAACTTCCTTTCCTATGGGTTGTTTTGCTGGTTCGCGCTTTCGATGTCGTGCCACTAAGTCTGGGGATGGTAAGGTTTTTCCATCTCGCAGGCTTATAGCATTACAATGCTCCTGGTTATCTTGAGACGACTTTTCTGTATCACTAGGGAGTGTCCCTGGTTGCCTCTGTTTGAGTGCTCCAGCCAGCTGACCAATTTGGGATTCTAGGTTTCGTATGGCTGCGTTGTTCTGATTCATGTACTCCTTGACAGAAGTCTCAAAGGATTGGGACTTCCCTTCACCCTTATCCCAGTTTTGTTGGTTCTGCCTGGGATACGGGGGTCGGTTCTGGTAGTTTCCTCCACTACCTCCAGCATTATTCTGATTCCTCCAGCCTCGGTTATTGTTCCCTTGATGGTTGTCATTGCTCCTGTTGTTGTTGTCACACCCTCCTGCATAGCACACAACAGCTAGATTGTTACAGTCCTCATATTCATGAGGGCCTCCACAAGTGGGGCAACTCTGACTTGATTGAGTCAAAAGAAGTTGCTCAGTTGTTTTTTTCTGTTCCACGGGCTTCCAGTTTTTTATAGTGTTCTGGAGCGAAGCCATTTGTGCAGAAAGAGCATCACCTGAGCTTAGCTCAAGAACTCCTGCTTTCTTAGGAGCACTGTGTCGTGTGGAAGGCCATGAAATATTTTTTTTTGAAAGTTTTTCCAACAACTGGTAGGTCTATGGATAAGTAAAATCCAAAAGATCTCCCCCTGCGGCTGCATCAACAGTTGCTTTCAATGGTGGGGTTAAACCATGATAAAACGTGTGAATGATGCCCCAATCAGAAACTCCATGATTCGGGCAGAATCGTATCAACTCTTTAAAGCGTTCACACGCTTCATGCAGACTTTCTCCATCATACATTTGAAAAGAAGCTATGTCAGCCCTCACTTGGGCTTGTTTTGCTTGGGAAAAAAATCGGGTAACAAACTGTTCCGCCAATTGCTCCCAACTGGTGATGGAGTTTGGGGGCAATGTTCTCCTCCATTCTTTGGCTTTTCCAGCTAAGGAAAATGGAAAAAGCCGCATCCGCATGTTTTCTTCCGAAATACCATGAACTTTGAAATTGTCAACTATCTCAGTGAAATTGTCCAAATGACTGTGAGGGTCTTCCATGGGTAGTCCATGGAACTGACCAGCGTTCATAATCATTTGGAACATTGCAGGTTTTATTTCAAAGTTCGGGATATTCAGAGGAGGGGGAACATATCCTCGTTCTGGACCATTTCTGAAGGGAGCAGCCATATCATTTAATGATGGCCCTCTTCCTCCATTCGGTCCTTGTTCAGGCCCATGATTATGATTTTCATTGTTATCATTGTTTACAACCTCCTCCATTGTACTGTTTTTCAACCTTTGAACTCTTCTTCTATTTCTGAAGGTTCTCTCGGGTTCTGGATCAAAAAGTACTATTTCTAGTCCAAGTTCTGTAGGTTCTGTGCTCATACAAATGGAGGAGGTTTATTAAAACAAAAAGACTGCGATTAAACAGCAAAAAAAAAATGTTTCCTTAAAGAAAAAAAAAACGCCCTTTCTTGCCAAATGATCCCGGGCAACGGCGCCAATTTCTTGGTCGAACCGAGAGTTGCTCGGGAATATTTCTTTCAGAGAGCAAGAGTGTAGATTAGTAGTCAGGATTGCCAACAGGAGCAATCTACTCTGACTAAGAGCAACCCTCTTCAACTATACGCAAGCGTACGTGTCAAGCAATATAGGGTGTTATAGCCCCAGATTTATCGTCCTCAGGGAGCAGT